GAGCTCCATACAGGTTTTCTATGTGGGTGGCAGGGGCACAAGTATTTGGGCCATCCTCTGCTGCTTTCCCACTTGTGTTAACAGGGAACTAGATCAGAAGCAGAGCAGCCAGAATTCGAACTGGTATGGGATGCCAGCATTGTAGGTGGCAACATAGCTTGCCAGCCCTGAAGACTTTTTTTTTTAAAAGTCAGTTTATTTATTTTAGACACACACAGACGCAAAAGACCACAGCACCAGACCCCAAATTAAGAAAATTATACCAACTTTTATATTAAGAAAGGACAGCTCAAGAGCTACCTAATGTAAACATCTTTAAAAAGCTAAAAAGAATCTGGAAAAATACAGAATACCTTCCTTAAGTCCAAATAAAGATATGGAAAGACATCATTGATGGCAACAATTTTATATACACAAAGTTAACGTTTATTTTTAAAGTTCTATATATAAAAATAAATCATGCCAGCATAACTTTAAGAATATATAAAGGTTTTCTTAATAATATTCAAATTTTATGGAGAGGAAAAATGTCTAAGGCCATTTAAAAAATTCAGAAAAAATGTTAAGCAGAAATTAGAACTTTATTTTCTACTCATCTTTATCAAGCTAAGCAAAAATCACCCTGTAGTGAAATTTTATGATTAATACATCAACTGAGAATATATAGGTCTTTAGTTCACTCAAATTTGCTAAACTATTTTTATATCTTTTTTTAAGATTGATTTTATTTATTTGAAAGAGAGGTAGAGACAGAGAGAGAGAGGTCTTCCATCCACTGGTTCACTCCCCAAATAGCTGCAACAGCCAGTGCTGAGCTGGTCCGAAGCCACGAGCCAGGAGCTGCTTCTGGGTTTCTCGTGTGGGTGCAGGGGCCCAACCACTTGGGCCATCCTCTACTGCTTTTCTAGGCCATAGCAGAGAGCTGGATCAGAAGTGGAGCAGCAGCTGGGACTCGAACTGGTGCCCATATGGGATGCTGACACTGCAGGCCAGGACTTTAACCTGCTGATACAATGCTGGCCCCTTATTTAGTTTTTTTGAAAGATTTATTTATTTGGAAGAGTTACACAGAGGTACAGAGAGAGAGGTCTTCAGTCCACTGGTTTGCTCCTCAAGTGGCCACACCAACCAGACCTGAGCTGATCTGAAGCCAGAAGCCTGGAGCTGCTTCTGGGTCTCCCACGTAGATGCAGGGGTCCAAGGACTTGGGCCATCTTCTACTGCTTTCCCAGGCCACGGCAGAGAGCTGAATGGGAAGTGGAGCATCTTGGACTTGAACTGGCGCCTATATGGGATGCCGGCACTGCAGGTGGTGGGTTTACCCACTATGCCACAATGCCGGCCCCTTTTTTGTATCCTCAAAAGGGTCTTTTTATCTTATTCTCTAAAGTGAAGACCCAATTCAGATTTTCAGTTTTTAACTACTTATAGGAAATCAGCTTTATAAGGTGGCCCGTCAACCCTGAACATTTTAGTTACTCCAGAGAAAGTAAAATATATTTGAAATTTAGTCATCTGTGTTTCCAAGTTCTTCAGATCTTCAATGTGAGATGGCTTGGAAGAATTCAGAAGAACCTGGGTTTTCTTTTCCTTTGCTGTTAATCCTTCACCATTTTGCAGGTCTCTCACTTTCATCATCAAAATAATTTTCATTCCTTATGGTCATATGGGCAAGTTTTGGGTCAGTGATAAGGGTTATCTGTTTCACAACTGTTAGTATCCATATTTGTGTGAAGTGGCTTCTCATTCCCATCTTTTGGTCCATTAATGTGTAACCCTTCAACTTTTTCTTCTTTGGTTAGTATTTTAGGTGACACCCTATTTTGATTACCATTGCTTTTAGTGCCATCTCCTTTCTCTGGCTGTTAGTACTGTTTGAAGTATTGGGGCATGGGGCATTGCTAGACTAAAAGCAGTGCTTTCACTTTCATCCAAAGTGGTTTATTATACCAGTATGGGGATTTTATTTTTTTCCAAATAGTGTTTGCAGAGCAATGAGATTATAGTGTTCATATTGTTTCCAAATGTAATAGAATGCTATACATTTAGTAACTGACCTTGTTTGTACTTTATTTTTTAGACATTTATTTAGTTGAAAGAGTTTCAGAGAGAGAAGGAGAGACAGATATTTTCCATCCGCTGGTTCACCTCCCAAATGGTCGCAATAGCCAGAGCTGGGCCAGGCTGAAGTCAGGAACCAGAAACTTCTTTCATGTAGGTGGCAGGGCCCAGGAACTTGGACCATCTTCCACTGCTTTCCCAGGCACATTATTAGGGAGCTGGATTGGAAGTGGAGCTGGGACTTGAACCAGCACATGTATGGGATGCCAGCACTGCGGGCAGCAGTACTGTATTGTTTGCACTGAATTACTCTAAGTCAAGTGAAAATCCTTTTTGTAGGCTTTCAGACCCTGTTCAAAAGCTCTACACTCTTTGTCCATACAGACAGTTCCTCTCTAGCTGCTTTTACATTGAGTATTAATGCTTTTGCTGTATCAACATTGCATTTAACCAACTCCTATAAAGCTGTTCATTGTCTTTCGTGTGAGAGCCTTCAGGAATTGCTTGCACCCCTTTCTCATCATCTGATCCTCTAGATGTGTCCTTAAGGAAGTTGATCATTTTAACTTTCCTCTGGTGAGTACTCAGAATCCCACAGGAGCTGATAAACTTTTTCATTTTCTTTGTATTCACAAATGCCAATGGGACTTTCTGCCTGAAACATTGAGCCTGCCGTAATCTTTTTTTCAGTCTTCTGATAGAATATAATCTTTATCTTCTTCACATGCTTCTTCTATTTCACTGTTTGCATCAAAATATTTACATCAACATGGGGGATTATTTCTTGGGCATCTTGAAAAGCAACAGATTGTGATGGATCATTATGGAAGACTGAGTTTCATCCTTCTGTCCCCAAAAATCCTTTATATTCTTTCATTTATTTTCCCCACCACAGCCTCCATTGTCATCCTCTTCCCCTGTCTTCTTCCTCATCTTTAGGTAGTCGAATAGTGCTGACCACCAATCTACTAAACTTGTAGAATGAAAAACAAGGGGTCTTCAAAAAGTTCATGGAAAATATCTACTATGAAAAAAACTAGCTATAAATTTCAACAGTCTTTGCACCAACATAAGTTTTTCCCCACAAACTTTTGGAAATATCCCTATCAAATATCAAATTTATGATCACTTTCCCTTTCAATGTGGGAAGGAGCTTATGAGAAATGCATTACTTTAGGTTTGAAACCCAAATTCCTCTTCTGAAAGGAGAAATGGGTGATTTTAGCTCAAAGAACATCTCAGCAGAGGCTGGAGGAGGAGGTACATAGAGAAAAGGGTAAGGGGGAGTAATCTGATGAGGAAGGTAGTGTTGATAAGAAACCTTCAGAGATATAATTCAATTATATCAGAACCATAAAGGGTGAGAAATTAATTGGTATGTCACTTCCCTTGTAACATCCCTTATGTTAGAACTGAAGTTTGTTCTCCTTCCAACATGTCTTCCTGTTCTGTTCATTTATCATCAAAATCATATACCTGTATATCAGGTGATTGATAAAATTCATGGTCATCTAATATTGCTGAAACTCTTTAATTTCTTCAAGAAATTAAGAAACATCTGATGTTTTTAGTAAACCACTATAGTAGTGATGGAGGGACTCAACACAGGGTTATGGACTGAACAGATTATCTGCCATACTGCTGGATCATATTTCCCCAGTGGCCATGGCTGGTCATGACCAGAACCCAGATGTAAGATTCAGCAATGGGACTCTAACTGCCACCGTCTCTGCCACTTCCACCCCATGGCCTCTGTGAGAACACCAGGGCTGAGTTCTTTTTTATTATTATTATTATTATTATTATTTGCCAGGCAGAGTTAGACAGTGTGAGAGAGAGAGAGAGAAACAGAGTTATAGACAGAGAGAGAGACAGAGAAAAAGGTCTTCTTTCTGTTGGTTCACTCCCCTAATGGCCTCTATGGCCGGCGCTTCACCAATGCAAAGCCAGGAGCCAGGTGCTTCCTCCTGGTCTCCCATGTGGGTGTAGGAACCCAAGCACTTGGGCCATCCTCCTCTGCCTTCCCGGGCCACAGCAGAGAGCTGGACTGGAAGAGGAGCAATCGGGACTAGAACCCCGGGGTGCCGGCGCCGCAAGGTGGAGGATTAGCCTATTGAGCCACGGCGCCGGCTCTAACTCTGTCTTTCAAATAAAGTAAATAAATCTTTCAAAACAAAGCAAAACAGAAGGTCAGTTGGGGCCCGTGGTGTGGTTAGTAGGTTAAGCTAACATTTGAGATACCTGCGTCCCATATTGGAGTGATGGTTTGCGTCCCAGCTACTCTGCTTCATATCCAGCTTCTGCTGATGCACCTGGAAAGGCAGCAGAAGATGCTCCAAGTACTTGGGCCCTTGCCACCATTTGGGAGACCAGAGTGGGGTTCTTGGCACTTGGCTTCAGCCTGGCCCAGGCCTGCCCACTGGTGGTCTTTTGAGGATTGAATCAGAGTGAAAGATCCCCACCCCCTCTGTCCCTCATTCTGTCACTGTGCCTTTCAAACACATTTTTTAAAAGAGAAAATAAATTGGGGTGAGCATTGTGGCATAGCAGGTAAAGCTACTGTGTGCTATGCCTGCATCCCATGTGGGTGCTAGTTCGTATCTTAGCTGCTCTACTTCCAGTCTAGCTCCTTGCTAATGGCCTGGGAAAAACAGTGGAGGATGGGCCAAGTACTTGGGTCCCTGACATCCATGTGGGAGACCTGGAGGAAGCTCCTGGCTCCTGGCTTCGGTCTGGCCCAGCCCCAGCTGTTGTGGCCATCTGGGAAGTGAACTTGTAGATGGAAGATTTCTCTCTCTCTGGCTCTGATTTTCAAATAAATAAGTAAAAATTTTTAAAAGAGGAAGTAAATGAATAACAAAACCCAAGCTCGATATTCCTACAGTTTCTGTATCCCCCAGAGCTAACTGTTCACATTGAACAGGAATTTGCCCTTGCAGGGATCAGTGTCCTTCAGGGATGTGGCTATTGATTTCAGCAGTGAGGAATGGCAGCACCTGGAACCTGCTCAGAGAAGTCTCTACTGGGATGTGATGCAGGAGACCTTCAGCCACCTGCTCTCAGTAGGTAAGCAGTCACCTTGGTATCTGAAAGGAGGCCTCCCTAAGAGTGTACTGTTTTCAGTTGATGAATTTCAAATTGTGATAATTTGTTCAGAATTTTGTGTCCTTTGGTTACTTTTAATACTGTATTTCTAGAGATACAGTTACTTTTCTGAAGAACAAATCCTCATGAACAATAAGACTGTTGATTGTGCTCTGAAATGTAATAAGCTGGACTGAATCCTTCATCATTTCATATGAACAGGCTATCAAGTTCCAGAGCCAGAGATTTTCATGTTGGAGCAAGGAAAGGGGCCATGGGCATTGTGGAATGAGAGCCGATATCAGAGTTGTTCAGGTGAGTATGAACAGGTAGATGGGAGCCAGGGAAGTGAATGTCAGCAGTCAGGAGAAAAATGGACAACTTTGAAATGGTATTAAGGTGACTCTTCTGGAAGGCTCTAAGTTATTTGTATTGCTTATATATGACCCTTGACATTGACCTCTTGGATAACTAGCTAAGGATCTTCTACCTGGATGACCTTTGCCATTTCTTCTTTGAGTTTTTGGATTCTGGGTCATGTGCCAATTTGTATAATTTAAAGATTTTTTTTTAAGATTTTATTTATTTATTTGAGAGGTAGAGTTATAGACAGTGAGAGAGAGAGAGAAAGGTCTTCCATCCGCTGGTTCACTCCCCAAATAGCTGCAACTGCCGGAGTTGCACTGATCCAAAGCCAGGAGCCAGGTGTTCCTCTCTGGTCTCCCATTTGGGTGCAGGGGCTCAAGGACTTGGGCCATCTTCTACTGCTTTCCCAGGCCACAGCAGAGAACTGGATAAGAAAAGGAGCTAGGACTAGAACCAACGCCCATATGGGATGCCAGCACCACAGGCAGAGGATTAACCTACTGTGCCACAGCACTGGCCCCATAAGCCATTTTCTAATTCATGCATGTTATAAAATTTAAGAGATTGGTATCATTGGTTTATATAAATGTCACTGTTCTATATATGTTGCTCTTTGCCTTTTTCTCTATCTGTACATAGTATAATCTGTTCACCTAGTTTGAATTATATCGCTGAAGGTTTCTTATCAACACTACCTTCCTCATCAGATTACTCCCCTTCACCCTTTTCTCTATGTACCTCCTCCTCCAGCCTCTGCTGAGATGTTCTTTGAGCTAAAATCACCCATTTCTCCTTACAGAAGAGGAATTTGGGTTTCAAACCTAAAGTAATGCATTTCTCATAAGCTCCTTCCCACATTGAAAGGGAAAGTGATCATAAATTTGATATTTGATAGGGATATTTCCAAAAGTTTGTGGGGAAAAACTTATGTTGGTGCAAAGACTGTTGAAATTTATAGCTAGTTTTTTTCATAGTAGCTATTTTCCATGAACTTTTTGAAGACCCCTTGTTTTTCATTCTGCAAGTATTTTAGTAGATTGGTGGACAGATAGACAGCTATCAGTAAAGAGAAAAAAAATCCTTAACTGATGTTGCTTTCTTCAAGAAAATAATGCCTACAAAGAGTCCTTATGAATATAAGGACATTAAAAAAATAATTTATGTGAGTCCATACATTCCTCCACCCAAATGACCCCATTTGTGCCACTCATTTGTAAATGGTTTGAAGCATAATTTAGATTGACACAATTTTGATAGAAGTAAGACATCAAAAAATGTTAAAGTAATGACTGAGTATGGTAAAATCTCTTCCCATACTGACAATGTGTGTGCTCCAACAGAGGAGAAATTATGGGAACATGAAAAGTGTGGAAAACTCCTCAGTTATAAACAAGCATCTTCTCTGTATCAGAAAATTCATCCTGGTGAGAAATCCTGTGAATATGCTGAATTTGGAAGAATCTTCACCCAGAAGTCACAGCTCAAAGATCATACAGGCGAAAAACTCTACGAGTGTATTGAATGTGGGAAAACTTTTGTACAGAAGCCAGAATTCATGACACATCAAAAAAACCATGCCAAAGAGAAACCCTGTCAATGTAATGAATGTGGAAAATCTTTTTTTCAAGTGTCTTCTCTTTTTAGACTTCAGAGAATTCATTCTGGAGAAAAACTCAATGAATGCAATAAATGTCAGAAAGGCTTCTCTTCTAACTCAGATCTCAGTATGTATCCGAATAGTGATACTGGAGAGACGCAACACAAAATTGGCGATTGTGGCAAAGCATTCACACAAATGTCCACACTTGAGATGCATCAGAAAATTCACGCAGGTGAGGGATCTTATATATGTATGGAATGTGGACAAGCCTTCATCCAGAAGACACATTTGATTGCACACCAAAGAAGTCATACTAGAGAAAAGCAATATGAATGCAGTAACTGTAGGAAATCCTTCACTTCCAAGTCACAGCTCCAGGTACATCAAGAAATGCACGCAGCAGGGAAGCCTTATATATGTGCTGAATATGGGAAAGTCTTCAACCGTAGTTCTAACCTCATTACACAAAAGAAAGTACAAGTTAGAGAGAAATCTTCTATATGTACTGAATGTGGGAAGGCCTTTACCTACAAGTCAGAACTAATTATACATCAGAGAATTCACACTGGAGAGAAACCTTATGAATGCACTAACTGTGGAAAAGCTTTTACTCAGAAGTCAGCACTCACAGTGCATAAGAGAATTCATACAGGAGAAAAATCCTATGTTTGCATGCAGTGTGGGCTAGCCTTCATCCGGAAGACACACCTGATTACACATCAAGTAATTCATACTGGAGAGAAACCTTATAAATGTGGTCACTGTGGGAAATCCTTTACTTCCAAATCACAACTCCATGTGCATAAACGAATTCACACAGGAGAGAAACCCTACGTGTGCAGTAAATGTGGGAAGGCATTCACCAACAGGTCAAACCTGGTTACACATCAGAAAACTCATACAGGAGAGAAATCCTATGTATGTACTCAGTGTGGAAAGGCCTTCACCCAGCGATCAGACTTGATTACTCACCAGCGAATCCACACTGGAGAGAAACCTTATGAATGTAGTACCTGTGGAAAAGCCTTCACCCAGAAGTCACACCTTAATATACACCAGAAAATTCATACTGGAGAGAGACAGTATGCATGTCACGAATGTGGGAAAGCCTTCAATCAAAAATCAATACTCATCGTGCATCAGAAGATTCATACAGGAGAGAAACCCTATGTATGCAGTGAGTGTGGAAGAGCCTTCATTCGAAAGTCAAACTTTGTTACTCATCAAAGAATTCACACTGGAGAGAAGCCTTATGAATGCAGTGATTGTGGGAAATCATTTACTTCCAAGTCTCAGCTGCTGGTGCATCAGCCAATTCACACAGGAGAGAAGCCCTATGTGTGTGCTGAATGTGGGAAAGCCTTTAGTGGAAGGTCAAATCTCAGTAAACATCAGAAAATTCATACTGGAGAAAAGCCCTACCTCTGTTCTGAATGTGGGAAGACCTTTAGAGAGAAGTCAGAGTTGATTACGCATCACAGAATTCATACTGGAGAGAAACCTTATGAATGCACTGACTGTGGGAAATCTTTCACTAAGAAATCACAGCTTCAAGTGCATCAGCGAATTCACACGGGAGAGAAGCCTTATGTGTGTGTTGAATGTGGAAAGGCCTTTACTGGCAGGTCAAATTTGAATAAGCATCAAACAACACATACTGGAATCAAACCCTACAAGTGTACAGTTTGTGGGAAAGGCTTTGTGCAGAAATCAGTGCTCAATGTGCATCAGAATATTCACACTTGACAAAAACAATATGAGGAGTCTCACTGAGGTATATGGTTGTGTATTATTGAATCTGTGCCGTAGAATGCTACATATATCGTGAGTAGGAATGCCCATGTCAATGTCACTCATACTTCACTGTTCAGAAGAGGACCTCTGGGAAAGCACTTGAGGGGGTATCGCTTCCTACGTTTTCACCAGCCTTTTTGAAGCTTGGGGCATTCATACTGAGAGGGGTTGAGTCAAGTTGATGCCTTAGAAGTAGCCTTCTCATGAAACATGATGGAATGCTTTAGCAATTTCTTCATAAAGAAGATGATGTTAATGATAATCCTGTTTAATGGAATAAATATAATGCCAACAAATTAAATGGTGAAACAACTTCATACTCATATATACTATAGTGATTAATTTTAATATCTATGAGTTATTTGATGCAGAACACAATGTTTAACAGTTATCTGTGTTTTTTTTTGTTTGTTTGTTTTGACAGGCAGAGTGGACAGTGAGAGAGAGAGACAGAGAGAAAGGTCTTCCTTTTGCCGTTGGTTCACCCTCCAATGGCCGCCTCGGCTGGTGCGCTGCGGCCGGCGCACCGCGCTGATCCGAAGGCAGGAGCCAGGTGCTTCTCCTGGTCTCCCATGGGGTGCAGGGCCCAAGCACCTGGGCCATCCTCCACTGCACTCCCGGGCCACAGCAGAGAGCTGGCCTGGAAGGGGGGCAACCGGGACAGAATCCGGCGCCCCGACCGGGGCTAGAACCTGGTGTGCTGGTGCCGCTAGGTGGAGGATTAGCCTATTGAACCATGGCGCCGGCCCTGTGTTCATTTTTTTAATGTAACACATTTGTGCATATCAAATCCATCATTGACTTTTTCTGTCAGTAGATATCACATTAAAAATCCTGTATCCTGATGCACTCTCAGAGTGTATTTTCATTTAGCACCATTACTTTTACTCCTCTTATTAGCCTACCTGTGGTGCCATTGAGACTCAGAAGCCATCAGCCTGTTGTCTTCTGACGCACCAACATAGTGTCTTGTGAACTCCCATTATCCTCAGGAAAGCGTCTGAGTTACAAATATTCAGGTTACCTTGGATCAACTTAAATTTCCCTTCTGCTGTCACAGTTCTTTCAACTCATTTGCCTTAATGACCGGGTTTTTATAATAACAAATCTGTACTCATGTTATATTCTGCTATAACAAACCCCAATATATGTTCTCTTTCTGCTCTATGTCCATCTTTATGCCATGTCCTCTGTAAGGACCTTTTCTCCCGTGTGTCTCAAACATCTCAGTTCAATTCCCTCCTCAGGGCCTTTGCATTTGTAGTGCCTCTGCAAAGAGCACAGTTACTCATTGCATCTGTGTGGTTTGCTTACTTCTTTCTTTCCTTCAGTGACACCTCCTCATGGTCCTCTCCTGTTTTTCTCTGTCGTATAAATTTCCAGCTCTATCCGCCTCCATCTTTCTCCATAACACTTAACAACATGGTATTCTGTATATTTCACTTATTTGTCTGATTCCCACACTACATATGTTTTAAAAGATGTTATTTCCTTTTTTTTTTTTTTTTTTTTAAGATTCATTTGAAAGGCAAAGTGACAGAGGGAGGGAAGGAAG